ATTATAGTTTACTTATCTAGTGTATCTATACATTATTCATTTGAATAGTCTGCCATTATCATAAAACACTTGTCAACTGGTGTTGCCAGTACAAGGGAGATAACTACATCCCATATACTAGTAACATTAATCTTTTGACATTACAGATGTACAATACCTTGGAAGATACCTGTTTAAAAGTATAGATGAAACTAATTTGCTTTTCATTAGTGTCAATTAATTAACTTTGCTATTAAATGAATTAACATCACCCTTGGCCGAGCTACAATGCTTATCAACTTCCAAAACTTCACTAAACAATGAAAAGAGTTCTAAATCTGTTTTCCTGTATGACAGTGAGTGCTGGACAATTTCCTCAAAGATGAAGAAGAGCCTTAAAGCAACAAAAATATGGTTCTGCAGAAGGATGCTCAGGATACCATGAACTAAACATGTGAACAACAATGAGGTTTTAGAGAAAATGGTAACAAAAAGGACATTTATACTTAACATCAGGAAGAGACAGTTGAGGTTTCTAGGGCACATAATGAGGAAAGAGGGCTTGGAAAATTGGAATCTTTGGAGCAATTGATGTTTAGTCCTTCCTTCTTGCTTTCTTTACTAACCTTCTGTAGGAGTTCTTGGAGTTTCTACTGACGAACCTGGCAACTACTTTCAAATAGTACCTCCAATCAGTTGTTAACTGGGGCAAGCAATGGATTGTAAATTTTGACACCTTCAAAACGAAACTGTTTTCATTTAATCACCATAGAGAACTTTTTCTGCCTGCTATCAGCATGGCTAATGCTAAACTCCAGGAGAGCAAAACTTTGTGCCTTCTTGGGCTCACATTATCGAATGATATAAAGCGGCGTTCAGTATATTGAATCATTTGCTATTGCTAAGAAAGTTGGTTTGCTGTGTCGTGTCAGGCAATTTTTCTTGTCAGAATCTACTTTGCACATTTCTAGATTTACCATTTGTCCTTGCATCGAATGCTGTTGTGATATCTGGTCTGGTGCTCCTGCTGTATATCTCAAGGTTCTTGACAAAATTCAAAGCCGGCTCTGTAATGTAGTACAAAGAAGAATCTGCAATGCTATTGGTTCAGACCTGGCATCTCGACTTCAGTCACTTTTGACCGACATGACCTGTCTTTCCTCTGTTTTTTCTACAAATATTTTAATGGCAATTGACTCGTTTTCATTAATGTCTCTTATTTCTTGCTTGTAGAATTCCCTTCTAATTTAAATGCAATATCAGTTGCCATCTGTCTTTCTGAACTCTGTTCCTTTATTCTCTCTTTCCTCACTTCTCACTAGTTTTGTCATTTTCTTTCTCTTCCTGTAACCCCCTGCATCCTAGTGGCATAATTGCTTTGCCTGGGGGTGAAATTATTACAAAACAATCCAAACTGCAATCCTCTTTTTTCAGTCTGTTTCCAGACATCCAGGCTACAGAACTATTTTTTTTCTCCCCTATCCAACAGACATTCAGCGTAATATATTCCTTTCTGCTGTCAGAATGCTGGAACTACCAGATTTCCTAAAATTTGGTTAGAAGTGTTTTCTCCCCTTTTCTCTGAGTGACTGATAGAAGAACTACAAATTCTTGTTGGGATTTAGTGTGTGACCAAATTTTGGAAATTCTCCACAGTTGTATTTGTGAAACTAAGTCATTGTTCATTCATACAAATTGTGGTTATTAAGTCCTGTTAATAAAACGATAGAAGTTGAAAAATTAATTTTGTTATCAAGTTCTCTGGTCTTTTAATTGTTTAAGGAAATGTTTCGAAACAGCTGGGAAGGGGAGTGAATTTACACTCCTGCTCTTTTGTAATGGATGGTAGGGAGAAAGACAATAGGAAGAAGGGGAGGAGTGGTCTGAGGACCACTTCTAATACAAGGACACTGCTTATTCTTCAAATTTGTGTGTGTGATAGATTTTAAGACTTATGACTTCCTTTACATTTTGTAGTGCTTAAATACTCCTCTCCCTCTCTCTCCTCTCATGTCGCTCTCTCTCTTTCTCACTCGTGTGTGTGTGTGTGTACACGCACACACATGATATATATATCTTTTGTGTATATATCTCATGTTTAACTTTACATGTTACGAATACACAAATGCAGGAAGCTGGCTGTTGTAGACTTTTCCTTTTATTATTATTATTAATAGTAGTAATATTAGTATTGGTTATTTTATCTTTTTGTAGTTGTCGTTGCATTCTTGGCCAAAGGCTGAGTCACTTATTTACTTCATATATTCAAAGGCAGGAAGGAAGTAGAGACTGTATTTCAGGATTTGTTGTTCTTTATCCCCCCCCCCTCTTCTTGGCAATGAAACTGGGAATTTGACAGCTGGGTAATGACGCATCCAGGATGTCGTGTAACTGGCTTTAAATGCTAATCATTTACTTGCTTCTTCATTTTAACTTATAATCTTCATTCTAATTTTTCAGCTTGATCAGTCCAATGTAAACCCTGCTTCAGTTAAGCCGAGTACTAGGTTGGTTGGCTTCTTTTAGAGATAGGCCTTGGCCTAGTATGCTCTGCTACAAGACTAATTATTAGAGACGACAGCTAGGTGTGCTTGATATATCAATGTGGATTCCCCTCCCCAGGTGGAGTGGGACTTCTTGTTTAATTTTAAGATACCAACACTACAGCACTGGAAAATGGTTTACTCATAAAAAAAAATAAGGATAAACCTTTAGAATTGACTCCTGTTTATAATATAGATAGTCTCAAATCAGTCTCTGATTTTTAAAAAAAAATAGTTATTGCTCCAGTAAGTGCTTGACTCCTCCTCTTAAGCTACCTTTTACAAGAGTCTGATCAGGGTGAAAATGGAATACTGCTGCCATGTATGGGTGGGAGCTGCCCAATTTTCACTTTCCAGTCTTTATAGAATCTAAGAATGTCTCCACATCCTTGTGGGTGACAAATTATTTTCCATCCTGCAATCCCCTTTCTCCCAGATGAAACGTCACAAGTCTCTCTCTGCTCTATTTTCTTGGAAAGTGTTCAGATGAACTATATTTAGTTCCACCAGCTTCACTTTCACCGGTAACCACCCTTCATCCACTTTGTATTCCATTGATGAGATGTAAGTTCCACTCGAGCAGTTTCTTCTGACAAACCGCTTCTTTGTGGGGCCGACTCCCAAGTCTTCTTGATCACTACAATCTTAACCTGTTCAAGTCTGGGGTCATCCATTATCAACTGTACTTCTTACTCTGTAACCCTACCTGCAGTGGCTCTTGGGCCTTGTACAGGGTAAATATTATTGTAAAAAACAAAAAAAACAAAAAAAAATGGTGGAAAATCCCTAATGGTAGGATTTATTTATGACAGACATTTACTATCTCCTGTAATGAAACCAAAACTAAATTGTAATGTAAATAGAAATCTTTTGCAAAACCTTACTTAAAAATTGAGAAAAAATACAAACAAACATTAGTAGTACACAGTTTTCAATAAGGGGAGCACAGCTTTTTGATTCAGGCATTTATAATTAAAAAAACAAATTAAAACACTTTATCATGAGGCAGACTCGTTAAATTACATCTTTACTTCAAATTTTGGTGGTTCACTTTTTTAATTTTATTTATTCATAATTAGGTTATTTTAATTATTTTTATTTTATTTTCTAATTTTTTTTAAGGATTTTCAATTTGACAAATAAACCTTTACCCATTAATGTTCACAATCCCCCAAATGTGTTACAAGTAGAAGCATATAATTCACACCACTAGTGTGAACAGGCAAAAATTTCACATTTTTCCTATTTTAAATTTCTGATGAGTCTTCTTAATTCTTCAGTTAATGATTGAATAAGCTCCTGGTGAGTTTTATGACAATAATAAAATATCTGTAGAAATTCCCCTATCACATTATTAAATATTTAGCTTAACAACTTTAACAAAATGTTGCATAACAATCATAAATATGAATGCTGGTCGTTATTTAAAAAAGTGGGTAGAAATAAAAAGATTTTAAATTGAAAACTTTTTCCATTTCCCTGAAAAAGCCATTAAAAACTTTTTATCTTCTTTCTTTTATTTTCTTACTGAAACTAAGTGTCTTTTCCCCAACTTTCTACATGATCCAAACAGAGTAGGCCATTATTAGGTATTGGCAGGGCATAACGGTCTTGCAAACAAAGAAATGGAGGGACAAGCACAATTATAATAGGATTATAAATTATCTGTCTATATTTCTGAGATCAGGTTTTGTAACTATTTACATCATTCGAACTGTTGTTCTCCTCTTTATTGCCACATTTACGTTTTGACCGTTGTACATGCCAGCCTTCTTCAGGTGATATAGGTTGGAATTTTGAACCGAACCCATTATTTAATCCACAGGGGACAGATTGCTCTAATTCCATGTGTCATGCCTTTTTGGATATCTTGGTTTCAGTTAATTCCATTTAGTAACATAATGCAGACATCTCTTCTGAGTAAGGCCAACCATAGAGGAGAACATGATTAAGGACTGTGCATACACAATCCAATGCAGCTGTGGCAAGAAATATAAAGGAGGAATAGTAATAAAAAGTAGGTACAAATGAAAAGATTTGAAATTGACAACATTTTCAGTTTCACTGAAATCACCGTTAAACACTTCTATCTTCGTTCTTTCTTCGTTTCATTCATTTTTTTTCTTTTCTTTTTTTTTTTTTTTTTTTTTTTTTTTCACTGAAACCAAGTAACATGTCTTTTTTTCTCCTAAGCAATCAAAGCAAAATAGCCCATTATTTATGTCATATTGGCAAGAGATGTTAAATATTTCTATCTTCCCTTCTTTCTTAGTTTCTAGACAAATCCCTGTCGTACAAACATCTCTCTTAATAATTTAAGAATAATTCAGAAAATTTATTTTATTCATGGTAACTGGATTTTTTCTCATTTGCCTTACTCAGTTTTTATCATTCGATACCATGTGTCTGCAAAATGGTGAATTTATTGCAGTCACCATGACTTCTTGGCTGGGATCAAAGTGTAGCATCTGCCCTCAGGCAAATAAACTACATTTCTTTCTTCTTTTTTTCTCTCTCCCTTTCTCCCCCTCTCTCTCTCCCTTTCTCCCCTCTCTCTCTCTCTCCCTTTCTCCCCTCTCTCTCTCTCCCTTTCTCCCTCTCTCTCTCCTTTTCCCCCTCTCTCTCTCTCCCTTTCTCCCCTCTCTCTCTCTCCCTTTCTCCCCTCTCTCTCTCTCTCCCTTTCTCCCCTCTCTCTCTCTCTCCCTTTCTCCCTCTCTCTCTCCTTTCTCCCCTCTCTCTCTCTCTCTCTTTCCCCTCTCTCTCTTTTTTCTCCCTTTCTCTCCCCTTTCTCCCTCTCTCTCCCTCTCTCTCCCCCTCTCTCTCTCTCTCTCCTCTCTCTCCCTCCCTTTCTCCCCTCTCTCTCTCTCCCTTTCTCCCCTCTCTCTCTCTCCCTTTCTCCACTCAGTAAAGCAAGATCAGAATTTGCCTTGACCCATGTATATTTTTTATCTAATAATTTATAGAAATGGTTTAGCAATGTTCCTCATCATGCTTCCCATGATAATCATAGGTAGATCAAATGTATGAAATTTTTTTTTCACTATCTGAGAATAGCTTATTTGGCTCTAATAGAGACTGCTGCATAGTCCCCTCCCCAGTTTTAAGAAGCACCCAGGGCCATACATTAAGTACACAACTGTATCTAAAAATATTTTTTTCTTATTTTGAATTGTTTCTTTGTCTGAGAATTTTAAAACTAGTAAAATTGGCAGCCAAGTATATGGAGCAAATATACTTGTAATATATGGTTGGTTGATTGAATTAATGATAACTTTCTGGTCATATTAAACTGGTTTTCCTGCTTTTACCAGATAGTATTCTTTCCTTGTTGTCTTTCTTTTCCTTGTCGTCTTTCCTTCCCTTGTCTTTAATCACAAAACTTTGACATTTGCTTCTGTAAACTTAAACATCTTGTTGAGATGTAAAAAGAAGAAAGTATAAAGTAACTTGTAAAAGCCACAGCAAACTCTGGAAACCTGATGAAAGTCAATGTTGATTTTTTATTTTTTATTTTTTTTAAAAAAGAAAAAGTTTAATTCACCATAAAAATAAATATTATAAAAGTAAATATAAAATATTATATAAAAACCTCCTATTCTATTATATTTGTTCACAATATCCGAAGTGGATGTTAGTTGTGTGGCAGTAGAGGTTGAACCTTCCTACCAAAAAACCCATACTTTTTTTTTTTTTTTTTTTTTTTTTTTTTTAGATAGTTACTAAGCAGCAATCGGGTAAAATGGCCTCTGACATGAAATGTATGTAACAGATGTCTATCATTGGATATGTGCAGAAAATGTCACCTGTTTGACGTCCATCAACACTCTCTTTCACCCTCTCTCTTCACCAACTCTCCACACTCTCCCCTTATTTTCCCAGTGTTTTGTTTTTTAAATTTTTAACTTTTTATTTCATTCTTCTGACCACAAATCTGAGAGGAGGTGGTTTCATAGTTGCTTTAGTATTTAAAATTAAACAAAAATGCCCCAGCTCCTTTCTTTCCCACCCAAATTATTTAAAAAAAAAAATCATCATCATCATCATCATAATAATAACAATTATAATAAACAAACTTATTAATATATTAAAATTTTAAACAGTGTTGGATTTAGATGGTCTGTTCCTGAACTGTATAAATGCTTGGTGATCATTTTTTTATTTTTTTTATTTTTTTTTTAAAAGACAGAATTTAAAAAGAACAGCTTTAATTTTATGGTGATTAAAGTTTAAACACCACAAAATAATTAAATAAAAACCTGAAAATTTGTAATGCCATAAAGAATTTCAGCCCAATGCAAGTTGAATTTGAATCTCTTGGTTGTGTAGACATATCCTTCTATGGCAACACCTAAAACAATCTTGACTGAAATATTTTTTTGTCAACCCAAACTGGATCACAAGCCGATATTCTAGGTTACTTAAAAGAAAGTAGGTAAGCCTTGAAGTTGTAATCATTTTCAATTTTTTTTCTTTCTTCTTACCAGAAGATCCCGAATGAGCAGAGATCAAATTTTATCATTCTCTTTCTGAATTGTACATATCTGGCTGCTGCTACTTTAGTTAGATAGGATCACTGAAGTTAAGCAATGTCAAGCCTGGTCAGTATCTAGATGGGTGACCACTTGAGGATACCATGTGTGGGTGATGTGGCTTATGGCCATATCACGTTGAAACCCCGGTTCCAATACAATCATCGAATTTAAGCAGCATCTAGCCTCTTCAGCTACACTGTCCGTTCTATGTTATGTATATAGTGGTCGGTATTTACATTGTTTTATGATGTCCTGCACTAAAAATGGACAGGAAAATTAAGGCATAAGAACAGCCAAGGATCACTCGGGTTATTTTAGCAAGAATTTTTTTTTTAATACATTTTGCCTTATTTAATTTATGTCTTTTGAGTTTGTATGTAATATCACCAGGTTTATGCTTAATTAAATTAAAAAAGAAATAAAGAAAAGTAGATCTAAGCAAGAAATTTATTGTACTCTCCATGTTGCTTGAAGAAGGCCAGAGAATGCATCAGCAAAAACATTAATTTCTGGAATAACAAGTGTCTAACATAGTGGTTTTCAACCAGGGTTCCGCAGAAGCCTAGCATTCCGCCAGTAAAGCCCAGGTGTTCCGCAAGAAGTTACACAAGTACTATGATTGACAGTAATTTTTAATTCTCCTGTGCAGATATGTGTGTTTAGGTACCTCCACTAAATCAATAACAAAACAGCATAGTATGAATAAAAATAGGTCCCAAACTTAAAATATATGTAATCCATTTAAACTGAAGTTTTTTAATGCATGTATAATAACCGTAGAAGCAAGATTAAAATTGCGTATGTACGTATACAATATTTTTACAGTTTGTCTTTGTACTTTTTTTGTAAATAAATCTGAAGATGAGTATTTTTATTTTATTTTAATAATTGAAAGCTTTTTTTTTTGCATAAGACAATTTATTGTAGGGGTTCCTCAAGCCACTGGAATTTTTCCTTGTGGTTCCGCTCCAGCAAAAAGGTTGAAAACCACTGGTCTAGCATAAGTCTGAAATCTGAAGGAACAGTTGGAATAATTGCATTTACCAAGATGGCTAGTGTAATTAGACTAGGTAATTTGTATGAAATTAATTGAAATACCACCCCCATCTCTCTCCACAAATACTTAAATTAATACTTACAACAGTCATGAGCAAACTGTGAGAGCCCCCAGGCTACATGTGACCTGTTTGGTTCTCTGAATAACGCACATAATTTCATGAGGAAAATAACGTTTTTATAAATTTGGCCTGTTTCCTTTTGTCCTCACTTGTTCACTCACACTTTCTCATACGTAAACAATGATTAAGTGCAATGTTTCTTGAATCCTGTAAACTTTTGTTGAAGGTATAGATTTCATTTTAAATCATTGGCAATTTTTTTTTTTTTTTTTTTTTTTTTATTTCACTGAGTAAGGTCACACGTATAAATATCTTTTGCTTTAGAAATGAGAAATGTTCATAATATTTTTTTTCACTGGAGAAGAAATATATTTTTTATTTAAAATTATTTTTATTTTTTTGTGTCTTTTCAAACAAAAAAATTCATATGTGTTAATATTATACCTAGACTTCAATTTTTTAATTATAGAAAAATCTTTTTTCTAAAGAAAGAAAAAAAAAAAATCAAATTTCCACAATTTCTAAGGCCGGCATATTGAAAATGGCTGAAGCACCTTCAACAAAAAATTATCTTGAATTTTTTTTACTAGTGTGGCCTGCCTTATGATGAGCCATATCTCATACTGCCCACTGATCGGAAAAGGTTGCCCATGCTTGACTTATAACTGTATGCAGAACAAATTACCGTTTTTCATTTCATTATCTGTAAGGACGAGTATAATTAATTAGAAATTATCACAATAACAATGCTATAAATAATATAATATATGACAATATATTTTTTTTTCTTTTATTCTATGTATAGTTATGACCTAACCAAACGTGGGTTCCTTTATTATCTGTGACTTCTTAGGAAAGATAGTGGAATGGTTTCCCATTTCCTTCACTGTGGTTTGTGTTATGGCGTGATTTCACAGTGGAGGCTTGTATTTGTACTAAGTTGGTCCTAAAATAGGTTCGACGTACAAAACGTTAGGAACTTCATATAATAGGTATGATGCAGAGTAATCTAGTTGTGGTCGCTGATACTTTAGTATCCGACTAATGGTCGTATGGCATCAACTGACTGACTCACTCACTGAGCGACTCACTCGTTACTCTTACTACTCCTACTTATTATAGGTGGGAGAGTCTATTAACTATAGAATAGGCATGTTCCACTATAACAGTTTGGAATTCAGTTTTCCTTTTTAGACATTTTAGCCCATACTTGGTAGAAAGAGACAGTATCATGCCTTTAGTGCAAAATTGAATGGAATAAACTTTGCTGGATTTGGAATTTGATTTGCCAAGTCTGTAATTTTTCATTATCTATGTTTATTTTTACAAGTAAATCAAAGTGTAAAAGATGTAGAAAATCAGCTATTTAACCCATAGAGAATAGATGGACTCGTACCTTTCCCAAGTGAAGTGAATTTTTTTTTTTTTTTACAAATAAATCTGGAAGAAAACCATGCACTGGTTCTGACCCCCCACTTAACCACTAAAAAAAATGTTATTGCACATTATCTTTTTCCAAATGTTTTCCCATGTCATTTTAACATGGAATTTATCCAAAGTAAGTTTCAAAATTAGTTGGAACCAAATTTTTAAAGGTCTTTGGGGTAACTTGAGTTTTTCTATTCATATGACATAGTCATGTAACCTTTTAAAAATGTAAGAATATTTTTTTTATGAATGACACTTCTAGTTCTGGGTTTATTTGATGCGGGTGAATGACACTTCTAGTTCTGGGTTTATTTGATGCGGGTGAATGACACTTCTAGTTCTGGGTTTATTTGATGCGGGTGAATGACACTTCTAGTTCTGGGTTTATTTGATGCGGGTGAATGACACTTCTAGTTCTGGGTTTATTTGATGCGGGTGAATGACACTTCTAGTTCTGGGTTTATTTGATGTGGGTGATTGTGCTTATAAGTGGAGGTCTTTCATTCAGGTACTTGTATTTGTTGATTGGTGGCAAAATTAAGCTAATCCCCTGGCTAAATCAGTTGTTGCCAAAACCTGCTTCAGTGCAATCCGTTTACTACCATTCACTGACTTGACATATAAACTATACCACAAAAGCCAGCAACTCCTGAGTAAGTTATTTTGAAGTGTTTCTAAATGCTTTTTGTTAAGCCTTTTATGGTTTCTTTTTTCTTTTTAGCCATTGACCAAATCACAAAAATTAAAATAAAAACTTTTTGTTGATTATAAAACTGAGTTGGTTTTCCTTTCATTCAATTAACTTTTTATCTTATTTCTTTTGTCCCACA